GGTACGAGTCCTTGTTCGTAATCTAATCAGTCTGTGGTAGTCTACACAAAGGCGATACATATGATCTTTTTTTGTTTAACTAGAACTAACAAGAAGCTCTATAGGCTATTTGACCTCTCAAGTACGCCTGTATTGATGCGTTCATTCAAAGGGGCGTAGAGTGCTCTTCGTTTAGCCAAGCTGATCGGTCGAGTATTGGATTTCCAGGTTCGTGCCACACCAGCGTAGTGATTGACCAGCGTATTGCAGCCTGGGTGGTCAGTGAACAACACATCGTACTCGTTTAATAGCAAAGACAGCTGTGTTTTTTCCCCTACAGGCAAGCTCTGTGCCTCTACCAAAAGCATAGCACTAACCTACTAGGTCTGAGAACTTGCATTCGCTGGAGTGTGCCGCAAATATTGGGTGCATTTGGCACGTAACGCCCTCCGCTTTTTCTGCATTGTTCGCATGAGGCATTGTGACAAAATACAGTTTATCCATCGCTTGTACATACTCCACCAAGGATTCATCCGGATGCTTCTTGCATAGCCCTATGTTCCTCTGCAATCTCCACAGCCACAAGAAATTCGCCGCAAAAGCTGTTGCGGAACTCTTCTATGGTGTGGGTGCGATGTCTGGCTAGTCGGAACCATCGAGCCACTTGCTCTGTGAGCGACACCGGGACGATGCACTCGAGAAGTTCAGTGTCAGAAAGTCCCGTTACCTGATAATAATAGAGCAACCGGTCGAGATACTTGTTGGTGTTCTTGTAGTAATGGTAGCCACTGTAGGTAGGCATATCTTCCTTGACACGTTGTTGCAGATCCTGCACAGGGGTCTGCGCTTTGTTCTGCAGGGTGCTCGCCATGTTTTGTATAACTGACAGAGCATTCTGCAAGAGTATCTCGCTCGTGAGAAAAGTATTTGCCGAAGAATCGCCAACAGTGGCGTATGTCAGAGCAACATGTGGCGGTGCCTTTCTGTCTACGTAACGAGGTGACGGGACGCCGAGCGTGGCGCTCTCCGCTATAAATCTAGTTTCTGCTAACACGGTCTCTGCAACATCCAGGCCATCCCACGAGAAACTATTAAAATCTATGCTGCCAGGAAGTCCTAAAGATGCTCTTACATCAGCCAAAGGATCAACACTCTGTGACGCGAAATCAGATAACTCTTAGAATTTTGACATGACTGTTGTCCTATGTTCATGAAATGTCGGTAGGCATCCACAAAGCTAGCCGCATTGCCAAATTCGTTATGTTGGGTGCCAGATGAAGGGGGTCCGCCATATGTATGGATCACACAGAAACCTAGCGTCTCAACTACACGCAGCCTTACTGTGCGTGATTAACGTCCTTTTCCCGTAGCTCGAGTCATCGCAGCTACACGAGTTCGTGTGAATAAGGCAACAGGCTAATTTAACAGAACAACACTTTATTGCTACTATAGCACAAATGTGTAAATGTCACATAGAGGGACTGTCCGCTCTAAGAAGATATCAAGGGTAGATGCTTACGCCTTTGTTTGTCGATGTCCTTGGCTCACAGGGGGTATCCAGGGCTTCTCCTCCGTCTGGTAGCCAGCGAAATAAAGACATTGTAACTGTCGGCACGCTCGTTTTGACCAACCTTCTGGTTTCTCTCTTCCCAACAAGGGTTGGTTCCCTCATTCGGGGAGGATAATCCGTTTTGCTAGCCAAAAAAAGGGAATAGCGTGCACCGGCCACAGAGTGACCAGTCCATTTGAGAGAAGCTTCGTTGTCTCGTTTCTTAAACGAAAAGATGTTTTCGCGACTAGGCTGCCGCACTGCCGTAAAAGGGAACGGAACCATGGGCACACGTGCTTCCTCACATCGCACACGATCAGTCATGTGTTCTTTTCTTCTTTTTGGAATTAGGACACAGTGCCGCCAATCAAAATGCCTCCATCAGGGCTTGTTATTTTTGTAATTATTGTTAGCTTTGTAGTTTTGTAGGCTTGTTAGTTTTGTAAACGCCTGCGGATCCCTGTTCTAAAAGAAGTCTCCCTTCCGAAATATTTTTTTGTCCATGTCTTTGGGCTAGCAGAACAGCTTGCCTTGCTGGTAACTATGCAACGGAATCATATATTTCTGCTCCCAGAAATGGAGACGGTAGGTGCTACTCTGACTTGGCTGGCACTGTGGGAAAGCACGCATGCCCCTGCTTCCTTTCCCTTTACGTCAGCGCGGCAGTCTAGCTGCGGAAACACGTCGGCCCCTTCGCAATGGAGACAATGAGGCCTCTTTCAAAAGATTGTTCACTCCGCAGCCGAAGCGCGCTATCCCCTTTTCCAGCAAGCAAAACAGCTTGCTGGGAAAGGGGGATGCAACCCTTTCCCAGCAGCGATGGAAGCAACCCCCGTTGGGGAGAGGGAACCAGAATGGTTGGAAACACGAGCCTACGTACAGCGAGACGCTGTCTCTTGAACCGGCGACCACACAGAGAGGAGAACTTGCGGATTTCCCAGTGAGTCAAGACGATAGACGACGAAAAACATAAGTGTATACCTTTTGTTATATTCCTATAACAGACAGTCTCTTCACACGGCATTTCTGCGTTATTGCTAACGAAGCAATAAAGTGCTGTTTGTTCGATTAAGCCTGTTGCCTTATTTGTTCGAACCCATCGTAGCTATGAAAGTTCGAGCAACGAAACGAGGACATTTATCGTGCACTGTACGACTGTGTGCACCTACAAAATTAACTAGGCTTCTGCACCAGCCATGCATGGGGCGAAACCCCCCCCCCCCCCCCCCCCTCAGAACCTACATAACAGTGCTTTTGTAGGTAGTGGCCTTGGCCGGAAACAAGGAGCCACATCTGGAAGAGTGGATTGGGCAGAGCTTATTTTGCCATCCGGCCAACTTGAACAACAAACATCGCGATAGCAGTAAGCATGGCATTGTGGCTTAATTGTGACACTAGCATGATCACTTTTTTGGTCAGAAAATTTCTGGGGTTGTAGTAGTGACTAAAGATGCACATGAAAAACGTATGATGCCTCATTTCGAAAATGAGGCATCATACGTTTTTCATGTGCCAGCAGTGCAGTTTCCAGTGATGGGTCCCATTAAATCTGAAACTCTGGTGAAATTTGACACTGCTTAGATTGTTTCTATTGAGATGGCGCAGAAAGTTACATTCAGCCCACTTTGCTGTAGGAACGGAATCGCTAAGCTGTCATATTTTAAAAGGCTAGACCATTGATAGCATTCATGAATGAAACCTAATGAGCAATAAATAAGCAAGAGCACACAGCCTTATTTTGAAATCAAAGACCTCAAAACTCTTGTATTTGTGCTATTAACTACATTGAAGGTGTTGTGCCTGAAGAATGAGAGAGAGAGTTCCCACCTTGACACTCTGTCTGCGCAGCTTCTTGATGACGTCTCGACGGAAGTCATTGAAGACGGCAGTCTCGAGTTCCTTGAGCCGCCTCTCCTCCTGCTCGATAGTGCTTTGGCTGGCCCCCAGGAAGCGCAGGTCACTGATGATCTTGGCTTCCTCACATCGCACACGATCAGTCATGTGTTCTTTTCTTCTTTTTGGAATTAGGACACAGTGCCGCCAATCAAAATGCCTCCATCAGGGCTTGTTATTTTTGTAATTATTGTTAGCTTTGTAGTTTTGTAGGCTTGTTAGTTTTGTAAACGCCTGCGGATCCCTGTTCTAAAAGAAGTCTCCCTTCCGAAATATTTTTTTGTCCATGTCTTTGGGCTAGCAGAACAGCTTGCCTTGCTGGTAACTATGCAACGGAATCATATATTTCTGCTCCCAGAAATGGAGACGGTAGGTGCTACTCTGACTTGGCTGGCACTGTGGGAAAGCACGCATGCCCCTGCTTCCTTTCCCTTTACGTCAGCGCGGCAGTCTAGCTGCGGAAACATGTCGGCCCCTTCGCAATAGAGACAATGAGGCCTCTTTCAAAAGATTGTTCACTCCGCAGCCGAAGCGCGCTATCCCCTTTTCCAGCAAGCAAAACAGCTTGCTGGGAAAGGGGGATGCAACCCTTTCCCAGCAGCGATGGAAGCAACCCCCGTTGGGGAGAGGGAACCAGAATGGTTGGAAACACGAGCCTACGTACAGCGAGACGCTGTCTCTTGAACCGGCGACCACACAGAGAGGAGAACTTGCGGATTTCCCAGTGAGTCAAGACGATAGACGACGAAAAACATAAGTGTATACCTTTTGTTATATTCCTATAACAGACAGTCTCTTCACACGGCATTTCTGCGTTATTGCTAACGAAGCAATAAAGTGCTGTTTGTTCGATTAAGCCTGTTGCCTTATTTGTTCGAACCCATCGTAGCTATGAAAGTTCGAGCAACGAAACGAGGACATTTATCGTGCACTGTACGACTGTGTGCACCTACAAAATTAACTAGGCTTCTGCACCAGCCATGCATGGGGCGAAACCCCCCCCCCCCCCTCAGAACCTACAAAACAGTGCTTTTGTAGGTAGTGGCCTTGGCCGGAAACAAGGAGCCACATCTGGAAGAGTGGATTGGGCAGAGCTTATTTTGCCATCCGGCCAACTTGAACAACAAACATCGCGATAGCAGTAAGCATGGCATTGTGGCTTAATTGTGACACTAGCATGATCACTTTTTTGGTCAGAAAATTTCTGGGGTTGTAGTAGTGACTAAAGATGCTTCGAAATGAGGCATCATACGTTTTTCATGTGCCAGCAGTGCAGTTTCCAGTGATGGGTCCCATTAAATCTGAAACTCTGGTGAAATTTGACACTGCTTAGATTGTTTCTATTGAGATGGCGCAGAAAGTTACATTCAGCCCACTTTGCTGTAGGAACGGAATCGCTAAGCTGTCATATTTTAAAAGGCTAGACCATTGATAGCATTCATGAATGAAACCTAATGAGCAATAAATAAGCAAGAGCACACAGCCTTATTTTGAAATCAAAGACCTCAAAACTCTTGTATTTGTGCTATTAACTACATTGAAGGTGTTGTGCCTGAAGAATGAGAGAGAGAGTTCCCACCTTGACACTCTGTCTGCGCAGCTTCTTGATGACGTCTCGACGGAAGTCATTGAAGACGGCAGTCGCGAGTTCCTTGAGCCGCCTCTCCTCCTGCTCGATAGTGCTTTGGCTGGCCCCCAGGAAGCGCAGGTCACTGATGATCTTGGCCTGCTCATTCATTTCTTTCTCAATCAGCCGAGAACGCTTCTTGGCATCCACGCTAGGGTCAAGCAGCAGGCAGGCATGGCGGAGGGTCACAGGCTCCTGCGATGGGTACACAGTTACCCACTCACTCCCAAAAATATATGCATAACCCAGGCCTTGTATCTTACGAAGGTAAACAAACAAAACAAACAAAAACACAACTACAAATTTAGATGCAGAGAAAAAAATCTTACCAGTCAGCATAAAAATTCTATAAACAGGGTTTGTGTCGAGCTGATGTTTCAACACAATCCCTGTTAATAGATCTTTCATTGCAAGCTTGCATCTTCCCCTTGCTACCTTTTTTTTTTGTATACAAGTCAGCATGCCACTACGGTAACTCAAAAAATTAACAATAAAAGAGATGTTTCAACCTAATTATAAATTAATCTCAATCTCTGCTTGGCATCAGCTCTAGCAAGACAGTGAAGATCCTAGCCAAACAATTACCACAGCCACATTTCATTATTTGGCATCTCGCGCATACAGAACGCAAAGTTCCCCACTGTCTCAAGCAAATGTTCGTGGTACCCTGGATAATGGTTCCCAGTGCACTATGTAGCATTCTCATCATAATCATTTCCCACCAGTGCGTGGTGCTAGTGAGATCTCCAACCAATCCACTTTGGTGAGAGAAATTTCATGCCTCTTGCAGGGATCGAAGTGCTGCGCCGATAGCGCCACTTTGCACCAGTCTGACCTGCTGCACCAAGCTGCCTATCAATGGCAATTTTTGTAATAATTGTATATTGCAAGCATAGACCGACAAATCTAGTCGATTATTATCATCGACCAAGCAGCACTGAGCATTCGCTGCTTAAGGCCGCGGCCACATTCATATCAAATGTAGCTCGGTCACAGATGCGAAACAGGGTACATGAGTTTATGGCACTCCATGGAGCAGTAAATGTATTTTTTTTTTGTACCATGCTTGGCACATTTAGGAAAACATTTTAGAGCAAGTTTGGAGCAGTCAGAACGAACTTTGTGGGAATCTGAGGCCCGCCCGCGACTATTTCGCGGGCATTCCGCCACACGGCCACACCCTTTTGCTTTTGCTGCTCTGGTAAAAGGCATGTGGCGATAGATGGCGCCACGTGCGGGCGCATGTTACGTGCGTGCTGAGGGAGCAATCTCTCCTCCGTTGTCGGCGCCGGGTAAACACGTGCTACCTTCGTCCGCATACCCTTTGGGAATCGTCGGACTGTAGCCTGCCTGGGCTGACCTTTGGCACCTCAGCAGGTTGTTTACTTGAGTGCTAGCTTCGGTACCATACGCTAAGCCCACAGCGGTGCCTAGTGCTTGAAGTGGTCGTACCACACCAAGCCGCACTTGCCGTAGGCCCACGCGTACGAGGCATAGCCGCGAGGGACCTCCTTTTCTTGACCGGCGTGTCAAAGCTCGCCATTGGCAGCTGCGACGTGCTTGCGGTGTCCCCTCATCATGAACGTCTGCGTGCGGGTGCCTTTGCTCTCCGCGCCTCGGGAGCGGACATTGCACTGTTGTTCAAGGTGCCGCCAAAGGCAATAACGTGTTGTGTATATTTGTATTGAAACACTGTTTAGCCACGCCGCGCTAACGCCTTATTAGTTGAGCGCGCACGGAGCGGTGCGCTACACCCGAGTAGGTGATGGAGTCCATGGCAAAAGCTTGCCTTGGATATAGTTGGTCCCTTGGAGCGCGCACTTCACAACATCAGATTTGCCATAACGCTTGTGAATTACTACATCAAGTTGCCAGAGGTATATTTTTGTCGTGAGGCATCCATGAGCAGAGTGAAAGGCTTTTTAACAATTGTTTTTGCTCGTGACGGATACCCAGAGGAAATGTTTTGCGACAGTGGACCTCAGTTCACTTCACGTGAATTCATTACTTTTCTAGAAGACAGGGCCATCAGACTGCTGCATTCATCAGTGTACTACCCCCAGGGGATGAGACAAATAGAAAACTGAATGTTCAAAAACTTTGTTCAAGTTTCACTTTTTGAAGGACAACCTTCAACAAGTAGTCATGGAATATCTTGCAATGTACAGGGATACTCCACAGGCAACCACTGGGGTTGCGCCTGTCGTTATGCTGCATGGTGAAATGCCATGACCCAGACATATCGTCGGTCTCTCAGCATCAGCCTTCGCTAAAGAACCAACTTGAGAGTTGGTGCGACTTCATCGTAGGGTTCACCGTCAACAACACAGCAGCAAGCTGTACACGGATAAAAGGAGAGCTGCCAAGAAACCTAGAATAGCTGTAGGAGACAATGTCTGTGTCAAGAAACCACTCTTTCACTTTGAGGGCGACTGCACCTTCTCTTCACCAATTAAAGTGTCTGAAAAGAAGAGACCTGCGTCTTACAGGCTTGAAGATGGCCGCACGTGGAATGCCTCCAAGCTGCCCAGAGTTCTGAAGAGGGGTGTTAGCCACCAGTTGCAGCTACCTGTGTCGCAGTCCCCAACCACGGTACATCAACCTGCGGAGCTACAACCGGCCGTGCCGCAGTCTCCTGGCGTGCTGCAACCTGCCGTACAGCAACCGCGGTCTCCTGGTGTGCTGCAAACTACCGCACAGCAACCGCAGCCTCCTGGTATGCTGCTACCTACCGCAGCTGCAGTTTCCTGGCATAGTACAGCCTCATAGTACAGCTGCAGTTTCCACCGTTTCCTGGCGTAGTACAACCTCCTGTGCTGCAGCTGCCTTCTGGGACGCAGTCACTATCTCCTGTACTGCTGCAACCAATCTCAGCAGCACAGCATTTGGGGCGGCCGACCCTAAGACACCGGCCACTGGCTTCAAGACTACCAGACAAACATTTAGTTTACGGTCTGAACTGTGTATATTCTGTACTATGTATTGGAGTACTGTATACTTGGGTTTTTTATTACTAATACCTACTAACAACTAATGACTAAGCTTAAGGGGGTTTTCCTTCTGTTCTTTCATCCCCAGGGGGCGCAGTCACTGATTGTTATATTAACCACGTACATAGTCAAAAAAGGAAGGTTCTTATTTCGTACGCCGTGGCGGTTAGACGCTGACTCCTCTTCTATAAACACGACAAGGTCATGAAGAGCGACAAGAAAGCTGACTGCAGCATGAAGTCACGATGGCCAGTCCTTGACGGGTATCTGAACACATAGATCTCAAAGCAGCGTGCCCAAGGTAGAGCGATGTCGAGTGTGCAGCAGCGTCTCAAAGTGCAGGCGCTAGATAAGGAGATGGGCATCGTTGAATTCGTTGACAGGCCATCCTGGTGCTCCAGATTTATGCGCCGCAAAGCACTGGCGACGAGGGTTGACACAAGCATGTGCCAAAAACTGCCAGCAGACTTCAAGGACAAGCTTAAAAGGTTCCAGGTTTTTGTAAACAAAGCCATTGAAGACGATGGCATAGGCGACAGGCATATAATAAATATGGATGAGGTGCCACTCATGTTTGGCATCCCCATGGAGAGGAGTGTGGCACCGAAAGGTGACAAGACCCTTACCATCAAGACTACTTATCATAAAGTGCACTTTATGGTTGTGCTCGCGTGTTGCGCTGACAAGCAAACACTCCTACCAATGCTAATATTTAAGCGGACGATGATGTCAAGAGACCTTCCCATCTGGCGTTGTCATAGAAACGAACATGAAAGGCTGAATGGACGAAGAAATGATAGGCAAGTGGCTCGAGAAATGCTTTTCTATGCGACTAAATGGTTTCTTTCTTGCAAAGAAAGGGCTCCTGGACTTGGATAGTATGCGGGCGCATATAACGGAGCTGACGCTGAAACGCATCAAGGCAGAAAACTGCACCGCTGCCATTATCCCAGGCAGGATGACAAAAATGCTTCAGCTGCTGGACATTTCGATGAACCGCAGTTTGAAGACTATTCTGCGGCACCTGTGGGAGTCATGGATGTCCGAAGGCGAGCACAGCTACACTGCAACTGGACGCATGAGGCGTGCTTCGTTTTGGGATGTCGCAAAGTGAGCGCGAGGCCTGGTGCACAGTATCACAAGCCACCATAACTGTGGGTTTCTGCAAAGCAGGCCTGCTAGCATCCTCGGCCCTAACCTCGATGATGACAGCAGCAGCAGCGATTTCGATGACGAAGAGGAGGAGGAGCCAGTGTCGCTGCCACCAGAGCTTGCTGAGCTAATCCAAAGCACTTTGAAAGACGAGGAATTTGAGGTCTTCGAAGAATAAAGTGTTTTTTCTGCAGTCACGCGGGACATTTCAGTGGGTGTGGATTATTTTTTCTCTCATGTTTGGCGTGGTATAGGTTTCCTTACGGACTAGCGCTCAGAAACGTAACGCAAGTATGGCATTTTACAATGCTCGCTTGACCGCACGTTATGAAGTTTCTTTGCAGAAAAAAAGTAATTGCAGGTGTGTCTTATACATCGGTGCATCTTATACATCAATTTTTGCATAGAAAATAGGGAAAATTGGGAAGTGCATTTTATACAAAGGTGCATCTTATACAACGAAAAATACGGTACCATTGCACCTGCACAGTTGCCTGACGTGTGTCTTGTGCTCTTTCTCCCTACAAACTGGTTTTACTTTATGCCTAGAAAATTCATAATTTCATCACCCCCTGTTTACTAGTCCACCTATCTGGCAATATCCAACAAGTTTGAATGGCAGCACGCATCTCAGTCGAGATAGAACTGTCAACATTTGAGGCCCCACGTGGGTTCTATAGCTTAGCCTAAAAATGGTTGGAAAATGAGCTAAGTGAAGTGCTTTGCAGGGTGCACTGGTTCACAATCTGGAATATGCTCGTGTCACATTATTTTTGCACTTAAAGCTATTCCAGCATATGAACTAGCCATATTTTATACTGATCTACATCTGTGGGTGCATTTTATTAGCAACCGTGCCACTGCTGGGGCTTCTATTCTCATTGAGGAGCTGCTAGACAAAATATTTTTACAGTAAAGCTGTCATTCCTGGGCATCTTCCAGACTAAAACCGGAGGTGAGCAAACCTACCTGTGCTGCACAAGCTTGTTCTTCGGGGCTTTCACCTTCATCTCCCTCTCCTGTGAGGGCAGTCAGTGTGCGGAACAATGCTGAGAGGGCTTTGCTGATGCCCACATCCACGTGGATGTCCACACCCTCCATTTGCCACTGGACATTCAGGATCCACTTGGCATTGCCTGCAGGTCATTGGGCAATGGATCATTTTAAAAGCATGACCATCCAAGAAGAAAGTAACTCAGGCGCAGCTTAGTTCAGTGTGCTGCCCGACACAAGTAAAAACAAGTGCATTTCCTTTATGGCACGTGGCAGCACACACCACATTATGCAAGAAACTTACACACAAAGAGACGACATAAGCGTTGACACAAGCGACTCAGCACTTGTGTCGACCTTCTGTGTACATTTTCATTGCATAACCTGGCATGCGCTGCCATGTGCTGCAATGATCTGGCAACTAGCCTGCAAGCGCGTGTTAAGCTCCTTTTATGTCCAGAATAATTCACATCTACATGAAAAAAGGAAATATCACCAGTAATACCCTGGGCAGCCACTCTGGATGCTGTAGTATTGAACACAACTTGCCCAAATTTCTGTGTTTCTGTGTTTTTTTTATGATATGTTTTCTTCACCAAAGACCTATGTGAATGAACAGTATAAATATACGCTCAGTATTTTGTGTTGTGTGCCAGCTTCGTCCTGCCCTTTGGGTTCTTTGTGAAGAATCCTGTGCCAAGTAGTCCACCTACTGTAACCCAACAAATATTGACTGGTAGCCCTCTTGCGACAATTGTGTGCGTGTGCGCGCAGGAATTCAGGTGCTGCCCTACAGTAATCGAGTGATGTGATGTGCTACGATTGGGCCACATGTGACTTATTAGGAGAAGAAAGAGTGTAGGCCAGAGCCAAAACAGTAGCAGATGGCAGGCCGAAGCTTAGAATCAAGAGTTCCAGCCAGAAAACATGGCCATCTCGACCCGAACATGATTACTGGAGACTGCAGCGAGTAATCCCATTGGTCGGCTGTTAGGCAGTAGAGGCCTGGCTTATGTTCACAGTTGCATCGAGCTCAAGCTGTCTGCTAGGTAGGCTGACTGTTCCTGCTCTAGCCTGACTGCCAGTAGTCATCCTTTGGGCTTTGGATCAGCATCAGACATCAAGGTGCACCATGTTCCACAGCATAGTTTTTTCTCCACCTGCTGCTTCTATACCACTGCATCCCGTCCTCTGTTTCAAACTGTTTCTCAAACTTATATTCACTGTAATTTTTGTACTCTCTTCACGTTATTGATTTTTATTATTTGAGAGGTGTATAAATATTCAAAATTTCAAATCTTTTTCAAATAGTGTTTGCTATTCAATTCAATTTGCACTGGAATTTCGACTATTAAAACTGAGGCCCAAAGACAAAAGCAGTCGATGTCAAATTGAAAGTGACCCCATCAAATTTTTTATAAGCTTCACCTCATCACATTCTTATTTTGCGGCAAAGCTGCTTTTTAAACTCTGCTATGGTCGTAAATGCATTGACTCGAGAAAACGCAAGTTCAAACATAGAGATGATTAATGTGGCGAAAATGGGGGCTCAATTTATGCTGTTTAAAACCTGAAATGTGGACAGGAAGTCCAAAAAATTGGATGGTAAAAATTTTTAGCATCAATATTTTGAAATGTTCTTGTATGTTAATTGACATCTATGAGGCAGATTGGAACTCTCAACTCAAAAGGAGCACAATCGTGTCCACGCATCAGTTGGGCTTCCAAAAAATTTGACAGAGGAGAGGCTGAGGAAATAGCATCTGTGCCTTTCACATGTTAAGTGTTGTAAGCAACACTTAGGTGGAACCAAATCATGTACTAATACAATTCGGCCTCCAAAACGCCTCATTCTTGATAAGACAACTATGAGATACCACTAGCCAGCACTTCATCAACTTAGCGACAATAAACACTTTCATGTTACTATATTTATTAAGAATATGCTTAGAAATCCCTTCCAACTTTTTTTACCACAATTTCACTTCAAACTATCAGAACAATGTTCTATAAATATTCTAAAAATATTCTATTAGATTTGCACACACACTTCAATATTCAAATTGGCTTCACACCCAAAATTTCCCTATTTGCTCAACTTAGTCTTTTTTTTTTAACTATTTGAGGAATAATAGAACGAATGTGCCTCACTTTTTCTTCTTCAGTGAACTCTTTCTCTGCCTCTTTATATTGGCATCAGCTCAATGATTTTCGCTACAGTGTATCAGGAACATTTAGGAAACCAACAAATATATTTGGCACATTTGCAATGCGAGGTATTATTGATACATTCAGCTTAAGTCTGCTTTGAGCTGTTCATCGTTCTTTTTTAAAAGTGGAGTCACATTGCCATCAGCTCAATGATTTTCTGCTACAGTGTGTCAGGAACATTTAGGAAACCAAGAAATATATTTGGCACACTTGCAATGCGAGGTACTGGTGATACATTCAGTTTAAGTCTGCTTTGTGCTGTTCAAATTTCTTTTTTAAAAGTGGAGTCACATCGTATGAAAAATAGCTAAAGTTCTAGATTTATGGGATTTTTCTCCTCTTAAGGGTCTTGAGAGAACTAATTTTAGCAGGCTACTATAAATTTTCTTTTGAAATCAGAGAGGTATACCGGCCAAAAATCATGTTGAAAAAGCCCTTGACAAAAAATGGAGCAATTTCTTGCTCTACAAAACATGCATGCACAGCTGTTTTCTTCAAGTTAGCCGGGCAATATTGCATTACAAAATAGCAATTTGTTATAAAGAAGGCACTCAGGTTGTTTTTTATACTTTTTTAGCAGTATGAGAGCAGTGGCAATTAGGACAAAAGTTGCAGCTACATTGCTGGTGCTGAAATCGAGGGCCAAAAGAAAAGAATGATGAAATTGACAAAATTGAAAAGCGAAAGCAAAAAGAATGATGAATGATGAAATTAAAAATTGAAGGCAAAGACAAGTGCACAAAATGAGAAAAGTTAATATTTCAAGCCTGAATAGAGTTCATGAATCTATAGCAGCAGTTGTAAACGCACTTACATCACGTCAATGTGGCTTGCCATGGTTCCCTATTTCATATATGAAAAGAAATTCAGGAGTAACTGAAATGTCTTCATGTACACCAACCAGAGACAGAAGAAGCCAATATGGTTGAAGTATGCGAAGACCTTGGACAGAGCCACTGGGCTAAACACAACCGGCAGGGGCACAGATAATGTAGTCAATCTGGAAATAAGATACCCCACACATTTTCCTTTGTACAGTTCTTGAAGAGTCCCTCTGTACTGCTTGCATCAGGCCTTTCGTGCTAAAAATTTGGCAAAAGGATTACAGCTTGGTTCCCTTGTGAGAAAATGGGACAGGTGTTCTCTCACTTTTTCCTCGTAAACTAATGATCATATTTCGGTAAAACTTCCTCCATACTATTTCTAAGCATGCTATTCAGGTATTATACAGGCGTAATTTCTGTTATCTTGTGAAAATATTGCAGAACCCACAAAGGCTGTACGTTTGCAAGTAGCTATCCTGTGACATGCCCTAAATGTAATGTTACTATGACCTTTGTTACTTGTTTCTTGTGACCCTTCCTTCTAGCACGGCATGCATCACAAGTGAGACTAATGTCTTTTACTGAAAAAGTCCGCATTTTCCATGAAAATCAAGCCTCTGTTATCCTGGTGATGACCCATTTGCATTCTCGTGGTTGATATATCCTTCCTCAGGTCCAATTCAAGTTACCACTAGGATAATCCCTAAAGGTACTCACTGGAGGCCTGTGCAGCAATTGTGCGGGAGCAGATCTCATAGGTGCCCTCGGACACCACACACAGGTTTGTAGTGGTCGCATCACAGGGCTTCCAATCTTCTATAGACACCTCAAACTCATCAGCAAAGCGCAGACACAGCCCTGCATAATAACAGCACACCTTGTACCAGTTGAAACATGCAGGTTTATTCTTCGCTACTCAATTTTTCTATTTCATAATGAAGTTCTGTGCCCAGAATGAAACACTTAAAATACTTAGTCTATCCAAACAAGAGATGTTTAAAAAATTAGTCAACAAATGACAGGGATAAAATAACGAGCAAAGATACAGCTAGTAGCTAACTGAAACAGTTGGAACATTGTACTTAAATTCCAGCACAATGCCACATGCAATTTTTCATATTAATTACCTGCAAGGGCTAGTTTTGTAAACACGACTTTTACAGTTATTAATTGATGTGACTTTTTAAAAGTGGTCCTACACTGTTTCACTGCATCTGAATTTAAGAAAAATAGTTAATGGAACTTGTTTAACCAGACAAATATATATACATAGTGACATGAAGCTTAGAATGCTAACATCTTTAGAATTCAATATTTATTCTGCTTATACGAAACCTTAATCCTTTTTGCAACGCACTATATTGCACATCCAATATGCACCACAAATCCTGTGAAAATAATCATGCTATCATATCAAAATGTGGCAGCTACTTATCCAGGCATTATTTTATTGGAAATATATGCTTTCTGTAACATCTGTCTTGTTACTAAAGAACGAGGCACATGTGCCCCGTTCTTTAGGAAGCGGTCGTAGAATGATATTAGCCCAAGAAACGCCCAAAAAGATAATTTGCCAGTTGGTCTGGGTGCCTAACGTATAGCCTATGGCCCCATTTTTGCTCTCCGTGGCCTGCATAAATTAGCAACGGTAGCACGCAATCGTCTCTTTTGAACTTCACCCGAACATGGACGGTTCCCAGGACATGCAGTGCCTTTTCCGACCAAGTTCACAAGTCAAGTGGCTCTCGTGAAAGCAGGGGGGCGTTCCATGGCCACATTTTGTGGCAGGTGGCAGCATCTTGTGACATTTGTGGCAGCATCTTGTGGCTTTGTGGCAGGTCAGATGAAATCTCACGGCCGTCCAGCACGATACAGAAATTAACGAAAACGAACACACTTTAATAGAAATTATACCGACTCGGAAGGTAGCTAGCAGCTTTTTTGTCCTGAATATTTACAGAAGTTCGTGACTTAAACAAAGATTCGGCACGCTGATTCGGAAACTGATTGTGATAATGAACAAACAAGTGGTCCTAATTGCCGCGTGAAGCTACATCGCGTGGGGCTACAAATTTGAAAATATAAATTGTAGGAACCTGTGGCTCGATGCGCAGAAAGAGCAGCTGCCCTTCGTTACCAATCCTCCTTGCCAAAGCCAAGAGGCAGCAGCGTTAGCGTAGACACCACACCAGACCTAACCTTGTGGGGGTGCTGACACCTTCTGTAAAGTTGTTTGCGCCGCGTAGCGCATGTGTTTTGCCTAAAAGCCGCATATTAAGCTACAACCACCGGCGATAGATGTCGCTGTGTTCTTGAGGACCACTATCATCATCATGGTTGTTACAGTGGTAGCGTCGGTTGTGACCCCTGGCAGAAGCAAGCCTTGGTGGTGGGCGAGAGTTGAGCGAGTCTTTTCTGCGAGTGGCGGTCGCAGCGAACGGTTGTCTCTAGCGTGGGCCCTTGGCGCGCGGCACCGCGGGGCCCGCGCGTCGGGGGCCCTCGTGATAAGTCAAGTGTTGGCGACGCCGCCTTGGGTGTTGTATTGTGTGTGTCATGTTGTTTAGTGTTGTGTAAAGCTGTTGCAGCGTATAATCACGATTGATATGTGGATTCAGCGGACGATATCGTCGTTCCAAATTAGTTAAATAAATGTATGTTGTTGTTTGGTTTGTACCGACCGTGTCCACTGTGTCCTTTCGCTCCAAGAGTGTGGCGCTCATTCGCCATTTCAAGACCCCACAACCTTCACAAAAAAACATTGTCGATTCACAGTAGATGAACACGCAGCAAGATCTGGATAGTGATTATTTCATAACAGGGATTAAAGCCAGAGCAAGAGCGGTCAAGACTAGAGGCAAACAGCTTAAATTGTTCGAGTGGGACAAATTCAGAATTTAAGAGTCGAGAGAATCAGAGGAATCAATAACCGATATGGGTGCATGGACCGACTCGCTGAAGCAGAACATTGCCACAGTGAAGCAATTAGTTCTGCCAGAGGCAGAACTTGTAATTTTAGGCAGTAGACTCTACACATGTGGGAGGCCTAACGGAGTTTGCAGGCAAAAAAGGAAAGGCAGAGGCACAACAGACCACTTAGAAAAACGATTGCAAAGCGAAATAGAGGCATTGAGAGTCACGCGCAGCATCTGCGCAAGCAACAGTGAAAGAATAAGTGCAGTAGCATGGAGAACCAACTAGGGTTTGCATAGATGTGGAACCTACTTAGGTACCTGCTAGATCCAGAAGAGATAAAAACCACTCACAAACAAAACATCAACAGAATCATACATGAGTACGAAGGCTCGGAGTAGGATATATTATGGCAGATCATGAAATGGTACATGAAACGGTACAATTCTACCCAGTTGCAAGTAGTGCATCCTGATTACGAAGGTGCAGCCAACGATGTCGTAGACAGACCGATCTGCGAGTAAGAGTTCAGGGCAGTATTACAAAAACGTGACACCACATTGGCGCCCGGGCCCGACGGGATTAAAAACAAAACACTCAGGAACCTAGCCAATAAAGTGATAAAAACACTTGCCCCGTATGTCAACGCACGCTGGGAAAAAGGAAAGGGGCCCCAAAATGGAAGACTGCACACATCGTGCTGACACCCAAGCCGGGTAAACGACTGCAGCTAGAGAACATCAGACGAATCCTGTTGACTTCATGCTTGGCAAGGTCATAAGCACACCGTCCTCACCAGACTGACCAACCACCTCGAGGACCGCGACCTGCTTTCCCACACAAAGTTGGGGTTCAGGAGAAACCTTTACGCACAGGACACGATGCTACAGATAAAACACCAGGTAATAAATAGCCCCACGAGGTTTACCAGAGCCATGCTTGGCCTGGACATGAAAAAGGCCTTTGATAACGTAACGCACTCAACCCCACTGACCAAAATGCAGGAACTAGATCTTGGCAAACGAACTTACAACTATGTTCTAGATTTTCCCATGAATAAAAAAACCAAGCTTACCTTTGGGCAGCTTAGTTCTGAGGAAACAAAACTGGGTAGCTACGGTACACCGCAAAGTGGGTGATGTCACCGATGCTTTTCAACATAGCTCTCATGGAGTTGCCAGTCAAGCTACAAGAAATCGAAGGGCTCAATCACCGCCTTTATGCTGACGACGTTGCATTGTGGGTTACAAAGGGCTGCGACGGGCACATAGAACAAACTTTGCAACGTGCGATGGAGACTGTTGAGCGATACTTACAGAACACCGGCCTGAGCTGCTCTGCGAAAAAATTAGAACATTTAGTTTACAAACCCACGTGAATGGGCTGGTAGCCGAACGGTGAGATAAATGATGATCCCGGTAGCGACATACAACTAACGACATCTGATGGGCGACCAGTGCCAAGCGTAGATATTACACACTGTTACGTTATAACAAACATTTATTGACTATTTAAATGGACGCATGGTGGATACGTAGGTAGACAAAAACCACACTATTTATGCAGGCGCGCATGCCCCCCACGCTCAGGGTTGCGAGGGCATTATGTTTATTCATGTCAACATTGACGCCAGTTGCCCCCCCCCCCCCCCCCCACTTACACGAAAACTTCCCCTAAAGGTCTAATCGATTTGCAGGTCGGCGAGAGCGCTGCGGTCGGTTCTTCACAACTGGTGGGTGCACCTGTGGTAGCCCTTCTGCTGGAGCTGAAGCATTTGGCACTGGTTCTTCTTGCCGGTATTCAGGGAAGAATTCCTCTGGTGGGTCTTCATTTGATTCTGCCTAGGAACTTTTTGGCTCTGTTGTGTGCCTCTGGCATATCTGGCCTACATGTCGTCTAAGCATCCCTCTGAGTTTTCACTACCAAGAGGCGATTTCCTTGCACTTAAACCACATCTCCCGGTAGCCACAGTTTACCAGTACCAAAGTTTTTACAAAGAACTAGGTCACCTTTCTGGTAGCCACTTGTCTTTCCTGGCAATGGCACTTCTGTGACCCTTATGGTCAAATCTAGCTAGTTCTTGGTGTGAACGAAAGCATTAGTTCTGCTAGTGAACGTGTCCTTTGCCCCAATGGTGTTCTGCGGTGAATGTGCAACCACCTGGGCAATCTTGTGGTAAGGCTTCCCCTGCTCATACATTTCAGACTTTCTTTCACGGAACGTACAGCTCTTTCGGCCAAACCATTCGATTGTGGTTTGTAAGGTGCTGTACGAATGTGCCATATGCCATTTTGCCTTACAAAGTCTTGGAATTCGACTCCAGTGAATGACATTCTACTGTCCGTCACCAGGCATCAGGCAGGTCAAAACGCGTAAACACAGTTCTTAAGTGTTCTACTGTCATGACTGCTGTAGCTGATAGAGTTGGAATGGCTTCCACACATCTGGAATGGCTGTCTACAATCATAAGGATCATCTCGCATTCAGTTGGGCCTGCATAGTCAACATGGATGCAAGTCCATGGCTGCATTGTGGCTAGCCAGCTCAAAGGTTCCTTAGATACAGGCATTTGACTGCCTGTTGACAAACACTGCATTCATCCAAAAGTTGTTCCACCTCCGACCCTATGCCAGGCCACCACACGAGTGTCCTTGTCAAAGCTTTTGTAGAGTTGATTCCGAGATGTGTGCATGTAGTTCTAGCAGAAACGCCCTCCTTGCTTGCTGAAGAATCACCACACGATCACCACGGCAGATCAGTCCATTGTTTGAGTTTGAGTTTATTCAACCACGTGACAAGTACACGAAAATGCACAGTATACGTGGTTTAGTGCGAAGGGAAAAAAGCTGCATTTCACAGCTTGACTGGCCCCTTCACCCAAAAAAAATCTAAACTACAAAGTTACAAAAATTACAAAAATTACAGGCAGCGGAGAGCGACAATACAAA